GTAAGTTGGGATCAAATGGCCTATTCAGCTTGAACTTTAGACATTAGAACATCTGTGTATCTAAACGCTTTTCTTAACTTCTCAGTAACCTTCTCACAATCAGCAAAAAGTAGAGAAGGGCATTGTGAGTGCGGGGAAGTCCTTCAAGCTGTGAGCTACTGAAGAGGTCAGAGTGGTGGTGGTGGGAGCACAGCGTCTCCTACAATGTGAAGATACTGATCTGTGAGTTGCTGGCTAAGAGACCTGTGGAAAAGCTGTGACTCCAGCTGTATACCTCTAAGGGGCTGGCCAAAAGAAGACCCAATTAGAGAGAAAAATGAGAGATGGTGAATTTCTCTTTGTTTCTGATTACAATTTAAATATTGTAACTGGGAATAGCATAACTGAAAACGTATATAATGCTTGTATCGTTCCCAATGATCCTTTCTTTTTCTTTTTTTTTTTAAGATGGAGTTTTGCTCTGTTGCCCAGGCTAGAGTGCAGTGGTACAATCTTGGCTCACTGCAGCCTCTGCCTCCCAGGTTCAAGTGATTCTCCTGCCTCAGCCTCCCAAGTAGCTGGGATTACAGGTGCATGCCACCACACCCAACTAATTTTATTTTTAGTAGAGATGGGATTTCACTCTTTTGGCCAGGCTGGTCGAACTCCTGACTTCAGATGATCCACCCACCTTGGCCTCCCAAGGTACTGGGATTACAGGCATGAGCCACCACTCCTGGCCCTTTCTATTGCTTCATCTTGCTTGAGAGTATGAATCCCAGAACAGATACCCATGTTTTGTAGACAGATCAGGAGATGAGAAATACTGTATGTGCGAGAACATCATTTTATCTATGTTTTTAGATGTCATCCTTGAATACCAAATATTGTTCCTTGGAAAGTTGGTTGGTTTTCTTCCCCTTTAACTCGTATATCTTTCCTGCATATTATGATGAAAATAGAAAATACAGTGTCTGCATTTGCTGCTCTATGCTCTGACCTTGCAAAACTCCTTTCTTCTTCCATGAAACCAGATTCCCACTTCAATCTTCTTGAATTCCCCTAGTCCCCCAAACCCATGGCATCCCTCCATCCTCCTCCTCCTTGTTTGCTCTGCATATTTCATTCTGAGGGCTCCAACTTCTCCGAGTGAACCTCCAGCTGCAGCCCCAGCTGGTTGGTCCCCTGTCTGTCACACTATCTGCAAATTTCATCAGTTTGGGGTCCTCCTTCTCCTCCTCTCCCTAACTCCTCGCCTCAAATTTATCATGTTCATAAGGGGCTCTCCTGTTCTCTGCTGTGTCTTGATCCTTCATAATCTCAACCAGCCTCCTGGGACTAGAGCCTTTTTTCAAAGGACTCAGAAATCTCACTCCTGCCCTCTCACCTGCACCCCAATCAAACCTCCTTTCCAGTCCCCTGAATCTACACCTCGTGCCTAAAATTCTGCATATGTAAAATCTGAACACATCTCAGTACACATCATCCTCCTGGTCACACCGGCTCCTTTCTCTGGTTCTCTGATTGCTGGGAGGCTGTGAGATTATGGCTGGCTGAATCCTGACAGACCAAGGGCACCAGAGCTACCCTTTGGGATCAACACCCAAGCCCAGCTCCACATGGGCATACCAAGGAGGCCACTTCTGGAGAAGCTAAAGGACTCCCCAGTGGCTTTGCCAGATGTTCCATGACTGTGATTGAGGCAGCTTCCACCCAATTTTCCATCCCTCTCACACTCCTAGTCTCTCTCAGCTTCCTTATCACACCCATTCACACACACAGCTCCCTAAGAAAACCCTTGCATGTTTAATCCTGTCTTAGCATCTGTATTAGTCCATTTTCATGCTGCTGATACATACCTGAGACTGGAAAATTTGCAAAAGAAAGAGGTTTAATGGACTTACAGTTCCACATGACTGGTGAGGCCTCACAATCATGGGGAAGGCAAGAAGGAGCAAGTCACGTCTTACATGGATGGCAGCAGGCAAAGAAAGAGAGCTTGCATAGGGAAACTCCCATTTTTAAAACCATCATATCTTATGAGACTTATTCACTATCATGAGAACAGCACAGGAAAGACCCATCCCATGATTCAATTACCTCCCACCAGGTTCCTCCCATGACATGTGGGAATTAGAGATGAGATTTGGGTGGGGACATAGCTAAACCATATCAGCGTCTGATTCTCAGAGGACCTGAATGAATACAAATTCCCATCCAGAAAAACAATTGATTATCCTAGCAAAGATTCTTAGACATAACTCCTTCTTTCCTGTCTACAAATCTCCATTCATTTCCTAGGGCTGCTGTAGCAAAGTACCACCAATTGGGTGGCTTCCACAACAGAAATTTATTGTCTTACAGTTCTGCAGGCTGGAAGTCCACTATTAAGGTGTCAGGAGGTTTGGCTCCTTCTGTGTGCTCTGAGGAAGAATCTATTCCTGCCTTTTCCTGGGTTCTGGTGACAACGAGGAGGCCGTGGCATTCCTTGGTTTGTCGATACATTGTTCCAGCCTCTCCCTGCATGTGTCTTACACATCCTAAGACATATTCCACAACGGAGATGTATTTCCCCATCATTGCCTCCAAGTCCATCTAAACTCCATAATGGTCCATTGGAAGCCTTCAGAGATTCAGTTCCAATCTCTCTTTCTGTCCAAATGTCCCACAACTCCAACTCTCTAGTCTTGCCTGCCTAATCTCCATTTCTAGAATATTCCCTTTTCCACTTATTTGCCCTTTATCCCCCCACTATTTCATCCTCGTGATCCCTCTTCTCTCCCCGTGGCTCTCTCCATCAGAACCCAATCCATCTTATACATATGCCAAGCTGTCTTGCTCAAGGTACCCACAGCCAGAACTGACCTTTGCAGTACTATCATTTTACCACATGCTGCCTTATATTTTATTATTTGTGTATGCTTTACCTCCAAATTATACATCTATTGAAGAACATAACAATATAGCTTCAGATTTTTAACCCCCAAATGTTATTTACCCATGTATATATACATGTCAGATGCTCATTTAAAACTTTGGCCAAGAAATAGAAAATAAAATACTATTTTTTAAGGATGGTGAATTCATTGGAAGTAATGTCAGGGATATGATAGAAAGTCCTTCAGAAAAGTAGAGAAACTTCCTAGAGGGTGATGAATAAAAGTGACACTATTGAAGAGGGATTGATATGATATGGATGTTGTGGATGTGAAGGGAGGTGGTGACTGAAAAATGGTGGTAGAGTTGACAGTGGCAGGAATGTTCGCCCCACCCTCCTCCTGGCTCTGGATTGGAGGAAGTGAGCAAATATGTGCAATCTATTGTGTCCCCTCATATAAATGTGACTGTGTTTCTAGAGTTCCTACCTTGTGCCAGACACTAGGGTTACACAAAAAAGAGAGCAAGACATGGTGACAACTGTTGTTGTAGCTTGTGTATATGAAGAAATGCATTTTGGTCTCTGCATGGCCAGCTCATTACTGGGAGTTGAGAATGGGAAGAGGTCAACCAGCATTCAAGGACCACTAAGCCATGGCCCTAGCCTGCTTTTCAGCTCTTCTTCCTATGACTTTCTTGTAAGAGGCTCCTGAATTAAAATTGGCTACAAACTGGACTGCATGTAGATTATTTGGTGGGTCTCACGTTGCCTATACTCATTTCATATACAACCTGATACGTCACACCTTTCTCTCCCCCAATCCTCGAGTATGTTCTAACTTTTCTCCATGAATTCTCTGACCACTCTAACACCAGTCATTACAATTTAATTTGTACCTCTCTTTTGACCACTCTATCCCTCTACCATCTTGATGTGTGGGTAGGCATCCTTTTCCTCCTAGACTGTGAGCTACCTGGGGACATGAATGTTGTTTTTGTAAGTATCTGACTTTCATACAATACCCGGGATAATCTTTTACACACAGTAAGCATTCGATAAACATCTCTGGAATAAATTAATGAATGGAGCATCTCATCTATGAACATTTTCATGGAGCAGTAGAGGTGACTTTTGCCTGGAAACCCTTTCTTCATCTTTGTTTCCTAGTCTCTTCCAGCTGTGTTTCATGTTCTATTATATCTTATGAATTCCTTCTTGATCTTCACAAGACTTAAGTAAAAGGACCGACTAGTTTGTATTTTTAATTTAAGAAAACTGCAATTAGAAGTAATTATTTATGTATTGGAGACTACAACTGCAATGAATTTTAAATACAATTTGATTTCTAGTGCATAGTTTCTGTGCTATTTTTTCTTCTATGGGTTATGGTCTGTAGCTGAGGTAACAGAGCCACAGTTATATTTTATAACTAATTGGCAACTGAAATTAGAAAGTTTTCCTTTATAACTAATTAGCAACTGAAATTAGAAAGTTTATACCAATTATCAACATTCAACATTTTGAATAACTTGGAAATTATAAATATTTTGGATTGCCGTTAATCTAAAATCATAAATACCTAATTTCATGATCGCTTATCTGAGATTTGAGGGCCAATAAGCTATGGTTATTGCTTCTTTCTAGAAACCTGAATGTTATTCCACAAACCACCTGGCCAAACCTAAGTTCGCAAACTGGGGACAGCTGGGCTCTTATTTAGGGGGCAGATCCTCCCTTTGGTAACCCAATGCAGACTCCTTGCAAAGCACTCAATTCCTGATTCTCTGACCGTCTTTCGCTTTGCTTAGAATAAAAACAAGAGTGTGTTTTTATTTCCTTGAGATTCCTGCTAATATTTTCCCCCTTTTGCTTGCCTGTGGTCATACGTTGAAGTAATTTAGGATGAAATTAGCTCCCAGGAGTTTTTGCAACAACATGGTACTGTCTTGTTGAAGACTTGCTCACTCCTAAAAAAACTCTCTTTATGTCATAAATAAATTAAAACTTGATTTTCTACTAAAAAAGTTAACGTTGTTCATTGAGAGAATACAGGCAATATGGGAGCTAGGATAGTCTAAGAATGGCTGCCATTGCCTTTAAATGACAGCATCTTAATCTCTGTATTACTTTTTTCTTTTCCTAGGTAAGTGGTGTTTTATCTTCATTGCTTCAGGGAGTGTGGATTTGTCTGGTAAGTGTTCATTTTGCTGTGGTACATGGTACTACTTCAAAGCTGCATGTGAATTGCCTATGAGAACCAAAAGGCAAACCAGAAAGCGTAAGCGAACTGTGGAAATGCTTTAGATTGAGAAGGCTGGCGTGTGTTAAATCTTCTTCAGAGTTTTTTATTTTTTTCTGGGTGCTTACTTTGGAGTTACAACATACTTTGTTCGTCGGTCTGGAAAAGAGCCCAGGGGCTGATTAGGTGTTGATGAAAACTTGTCTTCCATAAATTCTTTTTATGTTAATTTTCTTTTCTTTTTTTCTTTTACTTCTTTCTGCCTTTATTGGAATTTTTTAAATGTCCTCCTCTCAGCTTTTGATAAAACCATAAAACTCCAGATAGAGGCATTTTGCTGAAGTTTTTGCCACTTACGTATATTGTGTTACTCCAGTACTTTGACTAAATTGTTACCAAGAACCTCCTTTACTTTTCTATTCTCCTCTTCCTGTGCCACGGGTGGTTTCATCTGTGTGGTATTAATGTTCCACTGGAACTTAGCTCAAGGTGGTGATTCAGCCTACTCTCCAACAACATTTTTATTAAGTTCCTGAAACAAATAGGTCCCTACGTTTCTAGCTATACTGACATAGACATTCTTTTACTGATTTTGTCTATAAATTAGTGACTGAGAGTTGCTGTTTTTCTAGATATGTTGTTGATACCAAGGTTCTTCCTTCCAAAGAATGACCAAGGAGCTATCCAGGATGAAAATGAGTTGCAAGGAGGAAAAAAAAAACATGAATCATTTAATTTGTGAAGTTCATAGTCGAATATATCCAACATCTAATTATTTTATTTCTTATAACAGTTGACTCTCCCACTTTTTCGAGCTCACACACACACACACACACACACACACACACACAATGCTAGACCACATTGTCTTTTGAATGGAATTTAGAATATATATATATTCCATACAGAATAGAATATAGGAAATTCTATTTTCCTGTATGTAATATCTATAGAACTTGGTTATCTTATGTTATAGGTTCAGATTATTGGTTCCATTTGAAGTAATTGTTCTTTCAAAGCATTGAATTTGGTTTAGCTATATTGTGCGGTCCTCTCCTCCACCTTCACCATCCCAAAATTTTGCCTTTACATTAATTTTATCATATATATATAGTTAGTTAGTTAGTTGTTTGTTTAAAGAGGCTTTTATTTTCAAAATACATTAGGTCTATTTGGTTTTGGGGGGAAGGGTTCTTTTATTTTTTTCTTTTGATAATCTGACCTTAAAATGTTTTACTTGTGTTTATGTGTGTTTAATAGAACATGTTTGAGGAAGAGTCCCCAGAGGTCAACTAAATTGCTCTTGAAATGTTCAAAAGACCGCAGACATAGCTTTAAATAACCCACATGGGATTTTGACCCCATGCTGTTTTCAGTCCTGCGACAGAATTTTTCTATTAAAGATTCTGGATTAAAAAGATCAGAAAACAGGAGACAGAAAGATGGAAGGGTGAAGGTTAGATTTCAGACTTGCATAGGCTTTTCTCCAGACTTTGAAGCCTATCAGAGACCCACAGACATGTGAACCAAGGCATTATTTGAACAGCTTGCTTAACAACGGGCTGAATGGAGAACCACATTGTAAATTGACAAAGTTAGCCCTTGCTGAGAGTTTTTTATTCTTTGCTTTTGACCTTATTGGACACTGTAAATGAAATATGGTGGTTCAGGTTTGAAAAGGCCAGGGGCTACTTAATTATACCACTTCTACGATGGGGTAAAAAAAATAACCAAGAGTGAACAAATAATATATTTAACTCTAACCCCTTAACTCAGATAGCAGTAATATAAATGGCTCCAATCTGTAACCCCAGTTTGGCAAGAAATCTTTTGTTATTTTTCAATTCTTTTCACTATATTCAGGTAAGCCATGCAGAAAGGTCAAAGCTGGAGAGGGGGCTGAGTTTTATTTTCACTATAAGGAGAACTTTATTTGAGATAAAGTCTATTTTTAACTTAGGTTTCGTGATTTCTATCATGCTACTCCCAATGCTTCTGCATGCTACTTACTGCCACTCTAAAATCAGGCACAGTAGAGTTTCTGCCAGCAAACATATCTAAAATATCCTTATTTTTCTTATTAAAAAATGTCCATCTAGGCTGTCTGTAGTATACAATGACCACACTGGGTTTCCACTGATGGATAAAAGCAACTATATGATTATATAGTTGACAATTGTACAACACTCATTCTATATTGTTTCAGAATTCTTTCGTGATACTGTTATCTAAATGACACTATACTTCCTCAACATTAAATTTTTAATTCTATTAGTTTCATTTTGTTATATTGCATTTCTTATATAATTCAAATATGATCAAATATATTGTAGAATTGGACTGAATTATGAAATGCATTGTAATTAGTTTCTTTGCTCTAGTGACTTGTGTTAGTACTTTGCTGATAATGAGAAGTATGATTTATCCTGGACCTCATTAAGATACAATGTTAGAGCAGAAGGTATAAGACATGTCAGGCTCTCCAAAAACCAGATAGAAAACCAAGATGGAATATGAAGCATGGAGTAGAAAACAAGTGTCTTAGGAGAAGGAAAAGCATTAAAATTTGCAAACTATTAGCCATGCAGAGAAAACATAGTTTGTTTTTCTATGACTGATATGATCTTTTTGCATTCTTACCATACCAGGTGGGAGAAATTGGGATTTGCTATTTAACATATCTCAATCACCTCTTCTAATTTGAACTATCTTCTGCCATCCTAAAAAACTTAGACAAAGCTTAACTTCCTGTAGGTTCTGGCTAAAGAATATCTGCTCTGCCTATCTGCAGCCCCCAGCCTCAGCCTGGCCTCCTGGTACTGTACTGGTTCACAGGTGTGAGCTAGCTGGGACCCTCTCGGCTGCATCAAGGTTGGGGCATGGCATTCAGACAGCTGCTGTGGACTGTGGTTTTGCCTCCCCTGGCTTGGTATGTCCTCCTGAGGTCTAGCTAATTCACCTTTGGCCCTGACCTGGTATGACCACCCTGGACCCAGGCTATCAGGGACAGTTCATGCTGGAAAGTTCACAGCCAGCACAAGTTTCTCTTCCTAATGGGCACAGTGGGAATCTGGACTATCTTCCCAGAGCAGCACAGCGAGCTCAGGTATTAGGGACCTTAGGTTCCCTCACTGAATCCAACCATTTGGACCCTCCAGGTTGTTCCAGGCACTCTTTTGAAACACTCTTTCCCCGAAAACCCAAACAGGAAGCAGGCTAAAATCCTCCTCACCCTCAATATTGATCTCAGCCAAATTCAACCATCCTGCCTGTCAGGATTTTGAAATAGAGAGGGGAGGTCAAGTATCTTTCTGTTTCCCTCGCCTCCATATCTTTCGCTTCCCACAGTCGTTCAGGAAAGGTATTCTACTTCCTTTACCTCATCTCCTAGGCCTCTTTACTCACTAAGGGCGTGTAACAAATTCTCAGACTTAGTGGCCAGGCTAGGTGAGAGCAAATAGGACCTAAAATTTTTTTTCTCTCGATTCTAACCTTTATGACTGTTAACCCAACTCCAGGACTCTATTTGGTCATCAAAGGCTGAATATTGCCCCTTTCTTTTCTCCTTTTTTTTTTTTTTTTTTGGTTTCTTTTCTTTCGTTTCTGCTATCACAGCCCTAATCCCTTTTCTGTACCAGACAGGTTAGTGCATTGGTCTCACAGATGAGCAACTCAAGTATGCGGAAATGCAAACGAGGAAAGCACATTGAAATGCATCTCCGACACCGTGCCTCCTTCAAGGAGATTGGTGTGGGTTCGGGGGATTGCGTATTTGATCAGCAAAAAAATGAAAATGATGTTTATTTTATTTGACGGCTTATGTCGGGGGCACAGAGAAAGGCTGGAGCTAGACAGAAGGGGAATTTGTCTAGCTAGAAGGGGAGCTAGACTAAGGGTTCCATCATACAGAGCCACAGTCCCAAAGTGATTTTGGCAAAGCAGTCATTCCATAAGATGTTCTGTCAGACAAAGAATAAATTATTTGGGATTGCTACATACCACGTGGCGCCTCTTAAGACTCTTAATGTGTATTAACATAGATAATTCCTGCCACAAAAGAACATATATAACACCATTTAACCTAGGGGGGCCATATTCATGTAACGCCTATTAACAATCCAGAAGTCTTTCCTTGAGAACTGCTGCTAGGATAATGATGAAGCTAGAAACTGGTTTTGATGAGAACCACCAGAACGAAAACAGGGCTTTAGAAAGTTCTCTTGGCTTTCCAAGGCACGCTGATTCATCAGTCTGAAATGATGAATGTCAAATCAGTGCTTGAGGACACAGAATTTCTCAAAATTGCCACCTTTATGTATAAGAAGTATAAAATGTCAACTATTTATGGTCACTTTGCTATATAGTACAAGTAAAATACTCTTGCTTTTATTTGATATATCCAGATTATTAAAGAAAGTACCAACCTCCCCCCAAAATAATTGTTTTTGGTCAGCAGTCACTGTATTTCCTTTGCTGGGTAGACATGATATATTAATAGTGATGGATATCAATTATGTATCAATGGCAATGAATATCAACACTTTGAGCATAACATCAAGGTATTACAAAATATTTTATGATAATATTGCTTAAACTCAGCCTTTTTTGGTAATCTTTGTTTTTTGTTTTCCTTTTTTTGAGACAGAGCCTTGCTCTGTCACCGAGGCTAGATGCAGTGGCGCAATCTTGGCTCACTGCAACCTTCACTTCCTGGCTCCAGTGATTTTCCTGCCTCAGCCTTCAAGCAGCTGGGATTATAGGCATGCAACACCACACCTGACTAATTTTTTTGTACTTTTGTAGAGATGGGGTTTCACTCTGTTGGCCAGGCTAGTCTTGAACTCCTGACCTCAAGAGATCCGCTGGCCTCAGCCTCCCAAAATGCTGGGATTACAGGCGTGAGCCTCTGCACCCTGCCCTTTTTTGGTGATCTTTGAAAGAACCTATGTAAAATAAAACTTGGAGAGGCCTACATTTCATTTTATAATGAATTATCTCCTTTTTTAATTGAAAATATTATAGCTTTCTATGGTAATCATGGTAAAATGCCTCAGAGGGCTTTTTATATTATGTTTTATACAGCTTGACCAATTTTATGTTTTAATTTTTAATATCTTTTTCCTGCCTTCATATAGTATTCTTCTTTTTTAATGTGCCTTTATCCTCACTGAATACCCTGACATATTCAAAACCTCCTACCATTGTCAATAACACTGTCACGGGCTCCAAATTCATCTAATTCCAGTTTACATTGTCAATAATCACTTTGTTCTCTTTTTAAAACTGTGGCACATTTTGAAAAATAATTCGATATTTTTAAATCTTTGTAAAACATGAGAGTCCACTGTAAATCTTTCCTTTACCAAAGGTGGTTTATTCAGCTACAACTTCTATCATTGGGGTTTTTTTTTTCCTCTTTCTTCCTTTGGCCATGTCAGCCATTTGACTATCAGAAATGCTGTCAGGAAAAACAAATGGATATGAAATTGGAAGACGAAGGTTTGTAGGGAAAGACTAAAAGGATCATGAAACATCAGGGCTGAAAAATACCTTAGAGAACAGCCTAGTGTTCTGTTTACATCAGCCTAATTTTGGCTACCAATTCAATTCTCTTCCTATTGCATCAAACTGAGTTTTAAAGAACTATGAAGACTATTTGGTGATTATGTTAATCTCCAATTCTGCCTATTTTTTACTATGTTAAAATCAGACAAAATATAGAACATAGAGTTACACTTATGCCTAACATCATAATATGCCTTCAGTTAGTAACATACTTCAGTTAGTAACATGTGTAGGTGAGCTTGTTATCATTTGAAATCCAAATATTTATGTGTATAATGTGTAAAATTTTTCAAATATGGACTATAACATATCCAGTGGTTTGTCTATGCCAATAATACATCTTTGGGTACCCAATTTTAAGTGCAATACATTTTTCTAGTTGATGTCCCAAGAAATGACCTATAATCATGATGAAGTTTGAACTTCACATTGCAAAACATAATCATCATTGCTAGAAAAAATTAAAACCATCAAAACTTCTATCATAGAAACAACCAAAAGAAGTTCTCAGTATATTTTTATAGACAAACCACTTTGGAAATTTCACAGATAAAATAACATCAGCTTGTTGACAGAATGAGCTACCAAAAAGGCACCCCAGAATGGGCCGTAACATAACTTGTTACCAATGTAACTTACACTGTAATTTAAAAGTGTATATGTGGTCAAATATTTTTCCTTTGTTTTCACTGAAGTATTTTCATTCAGTAAATAGTCATTGTTTAATCACCTTCGTGTTTTAAGCTCGAATTATATTGAAACCTATTTAATAAGTAAAATAATTTATATTCCTACAATTATATTTAAAAAAAGAAGTCTTAAATTGAGTAAAATCCATTTTAGGATACCAGGTTGAAAAACAGCAACTTAATGATGAGACACAGTCCTGAGTGCACAGTGATATTTTGGTCAGCAGTGGACCACCGGCAGGATAGTGATGGTCCCATAAGATTATAATGGAGCCGAAACATTCTTATCTCCTAGTGACATAGTAGCCATTGTCACATTATAGCACAATTACTTTATTTTTATAAACTTATTGTGCCCTAAGTGTACAGTGTTTATAAAACCTAAAGGAGTATACGGGAATGTCCTAGGCCTTCACATTCACTCACCACTCACTGACTCACCAAAGCAACTTCCAGTCCTGCTAGCTCCATTTGTGGTAAGTGCCCTGTACAAGTGTACCCTTTTAAATCTTTTATACCACATTTTTACTGTACTTTTTCTATATTTAAAGACACGAATACTTACCATTGTGTTGCAACTGCCTACAGTATTCAGTACGGTAATATGTGATACACGCTAATAGGCTACGTATGTAGAAGGTCATACGATCTAGGTTTGTGTAAGTAATCTCTATGACACTTGCATGGTGAAATTGCGAACAATGAATTTCTTAGAACATATCCCTATCATTAAGAGATGCAATACTGTATTGGATACTATCTTCTTCTTCTTTTTTTTTTTTTTTTTGAGAGGGAGTTTTGCTCTTGTTGCCAAGGCTGGAGTGCAATGGTACAATCTCAGCTCACTGCAACCTCCACCTCTTCATGTCAAATATGTTCACACTTGGAGGGTTAGCTATGAGTTTTTTCATTTATGAAGACAATTTTATGAAATTCTCGAATTATTTAAGAGAACTCGTAGTGGTAAATTCTGTAGCTTTGTATAACGCTAACTAAACCGATGAGGACTGAAGAAAGATTGCAGGCTGTTGTAATTCTATAATGCCTTATTTTAGTAACAACATTTAACTCCCCTTGTTGGAAGTGAACAAAGAATAAATTAGAGGTGACTTTATCTTGTTAAATTATAGGTGTTAATTTTGATTGCAGTTCACCCGAGAGCACTTAGCTGAAGTATTTACCTGCATTAATTTACACGATACACACCCCAACTGTAATAGATTAAAAGTCTGCATTTAAAAAATAGTTACATCATTTCTTAACATTTTATTACTTGCTGATAGTATTTCAAGGCAATTGTGTGTTTCATTTTGTTGTCTCAATAAGCTCTAAAGCCTAATACTTTTGTTTAATGTAAAAATTAAGGCTTCAGAATCACCATAGTGATTATTTCCTATGGAAAAATGTATTATTTCTCAGATTTTAAATTGCTCAAGGGCATAAAAAAGTATTAAAAAATAATTTCATAGATCATAATAAAGTCGATGTTTTATATTGTTTTTTACAAAATGTAAAATTAATTTGAGCAGCGGAGTCTATTAACATCAAAGAGTAAATCTATTTAAGTGAAACATTATTTTCATATGTAAGCTTTTTTATGCAACAATTTTATGAAAAATATTAATGGGAATTTTTTCTTACGTACTGAGTCATTTACCTTATTCGATATGTGTTCTTGGAAAGCAAGTATAGTTTTCTTACTCTATCCCTCTTAGGAGATATTAAAAAGTCATACATAATATATTTTTTTGCCACCAATGATACAGTATTTGTACAGTTATCTCTGAAGGTTTTATTCCAGATGCTTCTGCACCAGGAAGAAGGTTCTAGACATAGATATCCCACAACTACACTGATCACACAAGTGCCAAAGCACCATTTCAGTTCTACAGTCAAACTTATTTAATTTTGTGACCAAAAGCACAGTGTGGGTGAACAGGGAGTTTATCTTTATCTATTCCTGAGCTGCCTCCTCCTTAATCCTAGCACAAGAAGATTCAACTGCATTTGATTTACAAAGCGCAGAGAACTTTAATGACCAAGTTAAATTAAAAGTATCATCACTGTCATTTAATCAATATTGAGTGCCGCCATCAAGGAGTTCGTAGATAATACTGAGTATGCATATTTTAAATAAAAAAAGAAAATATGTGCTTTGCTCCATCACAAAGAAAGAAAATTTTAGTGAAAAATGCCTGTAGAAACACTTCAAATAAAACTGAAAGAACCACAAATTATTGTCTTTTTGTATTTGCATTTTTGCTTGCTTGATTTGAATAAGATTTTAATAAGTTTGGTGGTTTTTCACAATGTAAAATTCAGAAGTGAGATTCATTTTCAGAGTTTTAGAGAAAAGCTGAAACTGACTTGAATGCCAGAAGTCTGGTAGCTCGGCCTCCCCTGGCTCCCTTCTTCTTTCATCTGCCACTCGATCAGGAGCACTCCTGGATTGGACAAGGGCCAAGTCCTTGGCATCGATTCTCCAGCACAGCTTTTCTTCTCCCATGACCCATGAATGTCTAGGGAAGTCTGGGCCACTTGGCACGTTCTGGACTGTAGGGAGATTTGATGATCCTTAAATGCCACACCAATCTCTTTGTAAGTTTCCAAGGAAGACAAAATACAGGCCTTTCCTTGGAGCTTAACCTGGAGAGATTTCTCCTGTCTGCAACCTTCAAAGCATATTTTGTGTCTCTGTGGATGAGTTGAGGGGAGAAGGCCAAGTTTTTCTTTTCTTCTTCCTGCTACAATACAAACTCATTCACAAAGCATGCCCTACCTTTTCTTCATTTCCAAGGACAGAGCATGGTGGACTTGTTCCAACTCAGGGACTATGTGATCATGCTTTCAGGCATTGCCTCTCTTCTACTGAACCAGGGAATAGCAAATTTAATCTAATTGAATTCCATTGCAGTGGTTCACTGATGTTTGTCCCAGGAAATATTCCTGTTGCTTAAGCTTGGTATTTGAAGTGCACTATGAATAGCGCTGTATGTGATAAATACTGCTAAGGACAGAAATCCATAAGATGTGTGTGCGATGGGTGTCCAGTAGTTGTTATTCATATTTAGATATATTAAATATCAAGAGTCTCAAAATTAATATACTATGTTTGTGAAGTTTTGTTCATCAAGCAAGAAAGCTCTCTGTAGCTGAGACTTTACCCTAACAGGTGGCTGCCTCAGTTTTAATATAAATTTCAAAAACAGCTAGGTGATGTTAAAATTTCTGAGCTTTCCTCTAGCCTTAGGACAGAGCCACACGTGCAGTCATGCAAAAACTATCCAGCATCCACATCAACTTTCTTATTGAAGAATTTGGTGCTAAACCATGTTCTTTAGGGGAAAAGTCCATAACATACCAGATAAGTTAACCATTCAATTAGAAATTAAGAGTGGCTGCAGTTATAACTTGCAAAGTTATGAAATCTATGTTAAATGTGAAAAAGTTTATCTAAATCCAATTAGTTTATTGAATTATATGAAAAATGCCAATATTCAGCTGTTTCTGATCTGTAAAAAATGGAGATGCTCTTTAGTTTAAACTAATAATCAGTAGCAACATTGAGCCGTACCCTTCTAGTTGAATTTTAAATTTTCTGTGATAACTACTCTTTAAATCTTGAAGAATAACAATTGCCACACTGTGATTTGATTAACAGTGACTAAACATATCCTTTATATTTTCTACTTGGGGAAACAAATGGCATCAGAACATGTTTTTCAGTGCTAGCCTTCCTTTGAGTTATGCCTGAGCCCCATATTCCCATATCCCAGAGTTTTTGTTGGCTATTTTGGAAAAATCTAAGAGAAAACTAAAGGCCTTCTGAAGTTTATGTGTTTTAGTGGCCTATCATCAACTTTGCCGAGTATTTCTTTGGCCACCTGAAATCTGCTGCTGAGCCCTTCTAGAGAATGTTACGCTTTCTCTAGAGTATATCTAGATTCTCTAGAATATATCTAGAACAATGTCTGAATGTTATACGCAAACAGATATATCTTTGACTATAATATAACATAAAATGTGATCCCAAAATTTGAAACTGGAATAGTTACCTATATTGAAGGATAAGGATGAAGTTCCCGTAATGATGAAGTCATTGAATTTCTTCTCAGTGCCTTGGGTAGAAGGAGCTGTGATTTCTGAGCAGGTGAAACTCCTGTTTTACTGTCAGAATGCAGTGCTATAGTGAAGACTCACTAGATTGTGAATCTATCATTTGTTCTATTTTACTTTATTTATTATACCTTAAGTTCTGGGGTACATGTACAGATCATGCAGGATTGTTACATAGGTACACACATGCCATGATGGTTTGCTGCATCCATCCCCCTGTCATCTACATTAGGTATTTCTCCTAATGTTATCTCTCCCCAGTTCCCCCACCCCTGCTATCCTTCCCCTAGCTCCCCCACCTCCCAGCAGGCCTCGGTGTATGATGTTCCCCTCCCTGTATCCATGTGTTCTCATTGTTTAACACCCACTTATGAGTGAGAACATGTGGTGTTTGGCGAGCATTGGAAAACAGAAATGGTTTTGGAGTATACCAAGTAGCTTACTTTCCACTTCTGTGATAAAGTATGCATAAACATGTAAAATTGAGGTCAGACGAAATGTGTTCATAGAAAGAAACTGTCAGATTACTTTATAAATAATTATAAAAAATCATTTTCTGAAAATAATAGAAATGTGTACAAGTCAAGTCACCTGAGCATCTCACTTTTGCATTATAGATCCAGCTGAATTTCTTGATAGAATTATATCTAAATTACGACCAGCTGCCTTATCTCAGTCTTAAGTATAATTCCATTTAGGGACCCTGTTATTATATCAAAACAGAATAAAAATCTAGTTATATATTTAAAGAGTCTTCATAATTGGGTGCTCTTTGATTGTGCATTGTGTCAACAGCTCATCTGACTAATCTTTAATTCATCTTTATCACCTAGTCTTATTTTAGCTCCCTGAACAGCACCTGCCTAGAAGTGACTGCAACAATTCCAGTTGTATTAACAGTGTCTTACTAGGACTATAAGCAGAGAATTTTATAACTGGGTAGGGTCTCTTACAGTGAAGATAACTTGAGTTCCAACAGTTTCAATGTCTCAATGAACACTTTGCATGTAAATTTAGATGCATTCTTCAATTATCAACTCTATAGGAAAACCTCCACCAACACTATATTGCTATTCTTATCCCAACACTCTAATAATTTATTAGATATAGTAAATAAAGAACAAATGAATCAAAAGAATGAATGTATCGCCGCTCCCCATTAGGCAAGCTTCCTAAGGACAGGCAGCATATTTCTTTAACACCCTTTAATAGTCCAAATATAAAGTAAGTATGTAGAGCACTGTCCTAAATATGAGGCACTCTAGTATCTTGGCTGTCTTCATTTTTCAAAAAATCATTGATGGTGGATTTTTCTGCCTCCAACTCTGCTTAAGCAAAACACTCAGAAATCAAAAATTTGGTTGTAGTTTCTCAAAGGAGTTACTAATTCCACTCCTAAAAAAACACACATCAAAACAGATTCAGAATGATCAAAGGGCTTTATAATCTCTTGGGGACTATTCACTTGTAATTTGTTATTTCTTGGACTGTCAAAGGCAGCTCTTATGAATGGGGAATGATTGTTATTTACAGCTTTATTTGCTTTTGATGGAGGCTTATGTGCTGCCAAGGTTACCCAGGCTTTGAGAAGGAAGAAGATTCACTTTCCCTTTTTTTAGATGAGTGGTTTGTTGAATTTGAAATAAAGCAGAAAAGACTTTCTTTTTGCTATATTAATAACAAGAGAAAAATGGAAGAGAGAAACTTGGAAGGCATTCACATCAAGTGGAATGAAATACTGATTATGTCATCACATTAATTTGTTTGTAATGTAGGCTGCCAATATAAAAGTTCAATGCTACTGGTAGAAGTTTTAGCTTGAATTATTTGATATTTCTGTTGCAGTCTGTGTTCTAAATTAAATGTCAGATTTTTAAAAACAAAAAGAATAAAGGAAAACAGGACATATTCAACAAATATTTTGAACAGAATTGAGAAAATAATTTCTATTCATATAGGTAGGCACACTGTACCCAATTCACAAAGGCAACCCACCTCTTAACTGTACGGTGCGACAGAATTCCTCTTGCCACTGAACTTGGCTTCTTCCTTGCATAGTTTGAAAATATATACATTCGAGGCCGGTATTATTGGCGTCTGCGGGTCGGCGTGCTGCTTCCACACAGCAGTGAGGCTGTTTAGTGCAAGAGAAGTTGCCTTGCTGCAATATCAAAATCCATTTAGAAGCTCTAGATAAAAACTTAATTAAAAGGTTACGGAAACAAAAGCACCATGCACAAAGCCTTACAATTTGCTATGCTCTGGCTCTGCTGAACCATCAGAGGCAATGAATTCTGCAGGTAGTGGGCCTCGTCTCTGAAAAAGGCCTGGCTGCCAGCAATAGCGAGAAACTGAGGAGGGGAGGCATGTCTTCTTATGAATTAGCAGCTGAACAACTACTGCCTCGTGTAT